GTATGTCACGCCCCGCTTCCCGAAATACGAGGGAATCGGGACGCGAGCAAGCCTGCGACATATTAGACTGAGGAGAAATAAATACTAAACCCTTTCTACTCAATCTAATAGCTAAGCATCAAGAAATGAATGCGAAGTCACTGGTCCTAGAGCACAGTTAGCAAGAATACAATAAACCATTGAGAACTAAATGATACATATCACAACAGAAACATCATCCCATACATAATATTCGGACCAAACTTTCCTTGATACAAATCCATCTAACTGAAAACTGGAGAGTCATAATAATACATCAACCACACAGAAATAAAAAGTGCTATAAAAGGAAACTGAGGACCATCGAATAACTAAAGGAAATAACTAAGCTTCAACTTGTTCTGCTCCGTCTGCAAGGCCTTCTTGTGGGGGATACTCTGGCTCCTGTACGTCTCCGAACTGAACCTGTCCGTCCTTTAAATCTGACGTACAACCCGAGAGAACAGGAGTACGTCAACGTGCATGACACACGACAAGATCTCACAAGGAAGAATAAAAACAGTCGAATGACCAATACAATAATAGTAATAACAATAGAGTGCAGCTAGAATTCTAACAATCTAGATGCAATCCACTACTACAGTATAACGATCAGAGTAATCATCTAAGTAACGAGGTCATGTAATTAGCCACCCTGTAACCGATCACTGGTTCACATCTCACACAGAGTCAACGCTCATATCATCGGATAACTGACTGTTCACACATCCCCTACGTGCATCCAATCCCGTGAAACAAACTGAGCAGAGTACTACACGCAATCCGATTTCAGCCTGATCCGAACTCAAGCTAAAATCGGGTGACGAAATGAAATCACGAACCACGTGAGGAAACAACACCACTGGCCCAACAGACCAACCCCAGGCCGAAAACCAGTGACATCAACAACCACATCCGATCACAAGAATCAAGACTTTCTCATCCCAACTTGTCCCATAAATTCATTAATATAATCAAAATAAAGTTTCTCATAATAATTTAATTTTTTGAAGTACTCTGTTTAGAGTGCCTCGGTCCGTCGAGAGTACCCCTGGCCGAAGACCGAGAGTTTGATGCCCATGAGATGGTCCTAAGCCCGGGACTTTTCCTCGCGAAATCGATATATATTGAAAAGTGAATAACGGAGCCTTCAATTTAACCAAAGCTTATATATAAGCCGTCGGTAGATCCGTTCTCCTCTGTCGCAGTTTTCGCTTTGTATCACCACAAAAACCCATTTTTACAGTCGTCCGTACCATCCGAGGGGTCAAATCTGGGCCCTCCTCCACACTACAAATCCCCCATCGACAGTGCGAGTCAATAGGCGGGCTTCGGCCACTCAGCCTTCGATGGGCACCGCTCCAACGCCGCAGCCTCTCCCGTCAAGAGAGACTCCGACGACTCCAAACCCTCTTCTCCCCCGACACTCCACGACGGCGGCAGCGGCAAGGCACGACGACGACGGCGACGCGGCCGCTCCTGCCACCGCGCCCGCCCCGACCCTAAAGATCTCTTCTTTCTCCACCGCCACTCGTCCTTCCTCTCCTCGATCCGATCCTTTCTCGACGATCCTCGGGGGTTCCCGGCCAGTAACAGAGCTTTTCTTGCGATTGGGGGGTTCTTGATCTTTCTGGGGATGGTGTTTCTGCCGTCGCTTTGGAGTCGGTTAAATGCGCCTTATTTGTGTTATAAGGACGGGATAGCTCTTCGTTGCCCTAGAGTGAGGGGCTTTTTTCTTCGTTGGATTTTAGATTTCATTTTTTTAGTTGATTGACTGTTTCCGATGTTGAACTGGGGGGTTTTAATGGCTGGATTTTAGGTGAAGGAGGCGCCTTCTCTCTGGGAGAACCCCCATGCTTCTACTACTTCTTGGAAACCATGCGCGGAGCGCCGGGAGAACGGGATATCAGGCAAGTTAAAACCCTAGAATTTGCACTGTTAGTAGTTTGCTAGGAAACATCAGTAAACTATAATCTTGACTAGATAAATGTTGTGGACAAAGACAAAGTTCTCAACTTTTTACGTTGGTTTGGTTTTCTGAATGTATCCGCAATTGCAATTTAAATGATTGTAAGCGTGGATTGGTGTTTCGGAGCAATGTGCATTTTGATACATGCTGAAAGATCATGTCTTCGTATTAAGAATCCATTCTTGGTCGCCCTTTGGATTTTAGATCATAGAGAACCCTACCTCAAAAGAGGGCTCATACAGATATTATTATTATTTTTGCATGATAGGCAATCATTTAAAGTTTTTGTCTTATGTGACAAACTGTGGTTTTGCATAGTTTTGCAAAACTTCATCGATGACTACCAAAGTGTAAAGGAATTTCTTTCTACTAGAATCTGTTGCGACTTGAGGACATTACATAAGATATTATATGCTTAAATTGTGGAATGGGGAAGTTCCAAAGGTAATTAAAGAAAACAGAGCATCTCGAAAGTGCTAAAAGTATGATACTTTGTCAGAGTATATTGTTCGTCTTGATGGCTGAAAAATACTATAAAGTAGCTGTTTTCCCACTTAAGATCAGATATTCGTCATAATGGAGAGATTAAGGAGTTTGTTCATATAGAAAAGGGGTGGCCAAAGTGATGAGATGCTTCTAGAGCATTGCTTGATCGTGTGATTACTATGAAATAGGAGGAAATAGTTTATAAGATGAATATAAAACAATTAATGCTTTTATGATTAAAATGTTGAGAAAATAAGGAACAACATTTCATGGGATGGGTGTTGCTGAAATGAAAACCTTAAAACAGATGAGCGCCAAAACATTATATGAAAGCCTCTACAAGAGTATAGATGTAGCTTCAGGTTGAGAATTAAATGGGTTGAAGTAGAACTGGTTATAGTTTGTGAATCTGAGTGGTGCTCATTTAGTGGGCCAACTAGGAGGAGAAATATTAATGGTAGATTTAAATGAAAATATATTGAGGAGGTAGGTAGGATACACTAGCTATTGATTAAGCAGTGCAAATGGCATTTAGTAGATGTGAAAGGAGAAAAAAGATTCTGTTGTTGTAATGATTATCTTTGATTAAAACACTACAGAGGAAAAAAATTCAATGAATTAATCTCTTAGTAACCTTTCTTATTACTTGTGAGGATGATTTTGTTGATCCTATACATGAGGTTCTATACTTCTTATAGCTCAAAATTTTGACATGTAGTATGGAATTGATTGGTCCATTGTTTGTTTATTTTAAGAAGTGAAAAGAACTCAGAATTGTTTGATGAAAATTACATGGATATGGATAAATTGTGACTCTCAAATTTTTTTAATTCCTGAAATAGACTACAATCATTGATTCACACACATGGTAGAAACTATTGGATAATTGAACTGGATGTTAAGAATAATTTGCTAAAATGAGTGTTAGCTGGTGAAAGAATATCCTCAATTTATGATTGGTCAATTGGCTTTGTACAATGAAAACATTTATCATGATTCATATGGAATTTGGTAGATTTAATTATGGGGTAAATGAAGTTGTTCTAGCTATTCTGTGTCTTACTAATTACACCTATGCAAGCTATATCTGTGATAATGTTTTGACAAATTACCTTGCAGCACCGATGAAGTCGGACAAATCACCTATGTCATTCAAACATTTTATTCTCAACCTGAAGCAATCTAAAAATTGGTTGTATGAAGAATGCTCTAAAGATCAAACTTACAAAAAAAAATTCCTGTCCAAAAAAGTATAAAAGATGAAAAGAAAGAAGTTTGCTTTTTTTTTGTCTGTCACTACAAGTCAGTGTTCGGTATGCTAGAATTGGTCTTTCAAACAAAATTTTCTTTATTTCTATAGGAATTTTCTTCATAACCACTTTCCAGTTTGCTTTCTGCTCAGATTTGTTATCTGTTTTCCTTTTTGTTAATACAACAACAAACCCTTTATCGCAAATTTTTCGTTTTTGTTAATATGAAGTTTATTTTCTTGTGCAGATCTTCCGCCTGAGAATGAAACTTCTGGCTATATATTTATTCATGCTGAAGGTGGTCTTAACCAGCAGCGTATAGCTGTATGTATGAACATCTTGGGCAGTTAGATCTAGTCCTATGGCCCTTCCTGATCTTTTTAATTTATTCATTCATGTTTCTTCTTCTAACTCTTGCTGACTGTTCCCTTAAGATACTAGGTGCAATCTTGGATCAACCATCTAATTAGCAGTCCATTTTATTTGATGAGATTTCCTCGAATCTCTCTTTTTTTTACTGTACTCCTCTGGAACTTCTGCTATATAATATTTTGCCTAGTTAGGATAATTTTTTGCGTGCCTGCTTACATGTACCGAATTACTTAAGCTTCTGGAAAATGGAAAGAGAAAAGTTTCTGTATGCAATCTTACATGTGTCTCCTCTTTAGTATATGCACATGGCACTTAGAAAATTGTTGATCAGCTATAGAAGCCCATCTTACACAGCGTGCTTCTTGTGTGTCTGTGCACAAAATGGAGTTAGATATATAAAAATTGCAATATAGATATGAGACAAAATTGCAAATCTTATCTTTTCTCTTGCAATTCTTGATTATACTTCAGAATATCAAATCATTGTTCCTGGTTAAACTTCTAATAGTCAACAAATCACAAAGCAGCAGAAATAAAAGCAGAGAAAGAAAACCAGGTTGCAGCAAGCAAAGAATATGAGAAGACAATCTTTGCTTGCTACCTGTGTAATATGAATAAACAGTTAGGAGGGGGCCACAATTAGGAGACTACAAGCTGAAGTATTCTGAGCTACATCTAAGCTTAATCAGAGGTACACTACCGCTATTCTTTTTTCTTGGCGACAGTTAGGAGCTGGCGATAAGGAACTAACCTATATCCAGAGGTTATATGTAAATTTGGTAGTTATAAACATTTTTTCTATTTTGAAAAGTCTTGTACTATTATTTCGATATTATAATTGATTCAGACTAATATTCGATAGATTCATATACCTATATTATTTTCATTAATCTGTGACTTTGGAAAACGATTCTGCCGGGAGGGGTTGACAATATATATGATCTATAGTTACTTTAAAAGTTCTCTTTTGCAAATTAGTTGCTTTTATCAGTTTTGAGCATTTGCTACTTTGAAAAGTTTTTTCTTATTATTTGGATATTTAAATGGATCCGGACAATATCCTTAGATTCACATACATTTATAATTTTCATTTATATGTTGGATATGAGAAGTAAATTCTGATAGCAAATAATAATTTTGGATTCACACATACGGGTATTGCTGCATTTTTTTTCTCCATCTACACCCCTACCTACATCCAACTTTTACTTTAAACCCTGTGTTTATTAAAGTTGCATGGAGAAGCCATTGGTCCTTTGATAGCATAACATAATATGATGATAAACTGATCAATTTTATTTTGCTTGTCAATTTTATTTCTTAAACTAATATTTTTGTTGTTTTGTTTTTCCATCAACCTTGTGGATTTGAAGAATATGATGATGGAGTCATTTTTTATAATGTCTATTTTAAGTCTTAATATTGTGTGTGATGGCTCATTAAACTTTCTGAGTTTAAACAATACTTGAGTTATATAGCCGAATCAATCAACTTATTCACTAGCATTCATATAATGCTTGGATCCATCATATTTATTTTGTCTATCCTTATCCACTCATTACTTTCACTTCTATATATTCTGTATGCAATTCTTCGAAATCAAAATTTCCACATAAGCTCTCAGTAGCAATGATTTATTATTGGAATATTAGATATAGACAGTTCATAGCGTATCACAACCACAAAAGTAAGAATAAACATGATTATTAATCTTCTGGAACAGCATAGCTTTAGCTTTCTGCCTTCAAGTCGTTCCTTTGTCCCCGTCCTGTCACGTCAAAGTTTGCTTTTATAGTTGCTCTTGAGGGTCATTCTGACATCTATTACAGCTAATATGTCATAAGATATAATTTTTAGTTTACAGATAGGTACTGAGTGTTGACATGAATGACTATTTGGTTGGAGGGAATAGCGCTACAGCAGCTCTTGTTGCACATTTACTTCTATTTATTGTATTTTTTATCAAAAGGGTAAAAAGAAATGGTAACTGGTCACAAATTGTAGGAAAAATACAGCAAATCCTGCAGCTACATACAGAAGAGAAGTAACTGCCATACCAGAAATACTTCCTTTTATTTTCTATTCCTCAAATCTTCATTTAGCCATAATTCCATCTTATGCTAATTACTTTTTTAATTGACAAAAGAACTCAATGCATAAAACACTGCATGGAGTATAGAAAACAAGGAATTTTGATCCCATTTCTTGCAACAAATTATGCGTCCATGCTACATTTCATTCAAACCAAGCAAATTCTTATTGACATCAAGACACAGTAGGTAAGCAGTAGTCAGCCACTACCCACTGGTGCTTATGTGCTTGGGCATTAGCGTGACAGGTGCATTAGCAGCTTAGCACTATTTTGTGCAACCTATGATTTGAAGTATTGGTTACCTCGTCAAGTTAATTTTTTAATTTTCTAGTATAATGCATGTGCTTTGCACTTGAATGTATATGTTTTAAGTTTTGAATTTTTTATTAAATAGTAAAACTATGTGTTAGTAACTAAAATTATATAATAAGATTGCTTAAAAAGAAATGTATGAATTAATTATTATTGTGTAGTTACTATAAGTCTATAATTGAATGTTTTTCTTATAATGATCACCCAGTGCTAATCTTTTCTTTAATAGGTCCCCTAAATCTAAAATTGTTCTTAAATAAAGCTATCAATTCTATAAGTTCTCTTAAATATGCCCCCTTGAACTCGAAAGTTGTTAACTCTGAATTAACCAAGCTACATTAATCTTGCTAGTTTTTTTCCTGATGTTTTCTAAATAGTTACACTTAATACCTGCAACATATTGTAATAGTTACTTCTCATTATACTTCTCTAAATTAAGTAAGCTGCATTAATCTTGCTAGCTTTTTTCCTGATGTTTCCTAGAGTATTGCAACAGTTACTTCTCATTATCATCATTATTTAATAGGGTAAATTATTCTAAACCCTTAGGAACTTTCAGCTCCTAGGGCTATGAACTTTCAAAATCAAACTAAACCCCTAATGACTTTGGTGTTTTAAAGAAAACACCCATTAAGTTTCTAACTTTTCTAGATAACCCCTATAAATTAGAACCAGAAAATGACATAAAAAGGCATTTTAAAGTTATTGGAGTTTGGTGTAATTTATCTAAAAGATTTTAGGGGCTTTCTACAAAAGTTATTAGGGATTTAGTGATTTTGAAAGTTCATAGGGTCTATTTATTGCAAAACATTAAAGTTCATGGGTGTTTATTGTAATTACCTTATTTAATATTATAATTCTTAGTTCAAGTAATACTATTAAATTAATTATATTGTCTATATACTATAAAATATTTATCTAATTTAATTTTTAAAAATATGCTCTTAAATAATTTAGTACTATAAATATTTTATAAATTTTTATTATACTATCATTAATAATTAATAGTACTATTATTAATATTAAATATTTATTTGGTAAAAAGATTAGTTTTCAATCATTACTAAATATAGATTATTCAGTATCATGTAATAATCTTTGAGAAAATACTCTTAAAAATAATATCAAATTATGTATTTAATTTATTTAATAATATAATATAAATAAAAAGTGTAATTCATAATTATGTGATTTTATTAAAATAATTACACTATTTATGTGATTAAATATTTATTCTATTTATTTTATTGCTCATTGAATTATAGTAGTATAATTCTTAATAGTATTTCGTAATATGTTATTCTATTTATACTATTATTTTAATTATTTTATCATATTATTTTTAAAATAATTAGTAGTTATAATATTATTGAGAATTATAATTATTTAGGAAGGTGAGGAGGTGCATAATTAATAAAAGGTTATATTTGTTTAATGAATGATCAATTAGAGATAATGACATAGTTAGAATTTATCAAAATTTGAGAGAGCAAAAAAGATTAGAAGTTTTAACATTCCAATCCTCTTTTTATAGCAGTATAGATTGTTATTCTAGTTAGTACTCCTAAAGATATGCAAGATGAAGTCCTATGGTTGATGTTATTTACTGATAACATAGTGTTATTAGATGAGACTAGAAAAGATATTACTTTTAACGTAGAAAGATGGAGAGAAGCTCTCAAGCTAAAGGATCTAGAATTAACAGAACAAGAATGGAATACATAAAATGTAATTTTCATAAAAGTGTGAAAATAGATTAGTATGTAATAAATACTAATGGCCAAGGAATATTTAAGAGTTACCATCTTCATTATTTAGGACTGGTCATTCTTTAAGATGGTAAAGTTGATGATTGACATGGTTCATAGGATTGAATACAGAGAATGAGATTAGGATGGTTAAAGTGGAGCTTCTAGGGTCCCATGTGATCCTAGAGGACCTATAAAATTGGAAGGAATTTTTTAGGGAAATTGTAAGTCCAATATTTTTTTACTCTGGGCAAGTAAGAAGCATGTGTCAATGACCATAGCAGAAATAAGAATGTTGCAATGGATGTGTGGATATGCGCTCACAGATAAGATAAGAAATGTGACAACATTGGCAGGAAGTTAGTGGTTGCTTTTATGAGAATAGCTTGAGATGGTTTGTCCATGTGCATTGGAGGTGACTAAATGCATCAGTTAGGAGAGTTCATAATATCATAATAATGGGGCAAAAGGGACAAGAGGCAGGCTTAAGAGAACATGTCGGAACTTGGAAGCAATTAAGAAGGATATAATAGTGATTAACTTAACAGAAGAGATGAGTTTCTGTAGCCAAACCAAAAATTTGGGATAAAGACTTTGTTGTTGTTGTTGTAATTCTAATTTGTATGTTTTAAGCTTACTAATCTTCTAATTGTACTTCTGTTCATTTCTCTACTATGCTAATGGTTCCAATAATTGCTCCATATACTATACTGATAACTCTACCATGATCAATCTGTTCTTCACTTTTAAAGTTGTCTTCGCTATAGCCAGGATTTTGCTTGACTAATATAATATTGGCCCCCATGCAGATATGTAATGCTGTTGCTGTGGCTAAGATATTGAATGCAACACTTATTTTGCCTGTGTTGAAGCAAGATCAAATATGGAAAGATAAAACGTAAGGTTCTCTTTAGCTTTCATTTGATGCGCATGCAGGTTCATTAATGATGCTGTTTCTACCGTTTGCATATGCACAATTTAGTAGGATAAGGAAATGACCTCCATGATCAATAGGTTAGTTATCAGCTACAACTAACTGTTTTAAGTAAAGTTCCTTTTCTTAGTTAACCCTGTAACATAAATTGGTCTTAAAAGCTGTAAGGCAAAAAAGTGATAATATAGATCAATGCATAACCAGTTGTCTAGAGTAATTTTTTCAAACCCAATGAGCCAGGACCTCTATTCACAAGATGCTTCTCTTTTTCTACTTAAACATTCCAGTTCGTTGGTTCTGGTCCCTTAAATTTTCTAGAACACACCAACATGATATTGAGGCCTGGCCTAATTGTAATGTGTGGAGTTTGTCTATGGAAGGTCCTAGGTTCATGTCTGAGCTATGACCTTTGTTGGCAGAAAAACTCTGCTATGGAAAACTTACTAAGTACACTTAATTACACAAATCCGAACCTCAAGCTTGGATTTCATCTCTTTCTATCCGGATGCGTTTATTACATTGTTAAAATTTCCCAACATGGAAGAATGGTAAAATATGATTTCATGTTGAATATAGGGATCAAACCTTTTATTTTCTTCTGAAGTTTCATTTTTGGTGCTGTTTGGCCTGTTTGGAAATAAGATGAGAAAGTTGTGTTTCTGAGGTCTTGCACTGGACATGGGAACACTATGGTTGAAAGTCAGAGAAAAAGGAAGATACATTTTTGACTTGTCAATAAGGAAGTAATCCTCTTATCAATTTAGGTTTCTGGAGCAATCTAGGATAGATCCCTTTAGTTTTGAGGTTTATTTGGAGAACTCAGAAGAACTTCAAAATGGCTTTTAACGCAAAGAGAAAAACCATCAACATGCTGGCATAAAGGATGCAGCATGTGAAAACTGGAATAGAGGGTCCCTTGACATGCTTTTTGGTTAAATACTTGTCACAGTTAGGAACTCCCTTCAGACCTTCTGACATCGATACAATGAGAATCTTTCGGTTCATAGATCACTCTAATATACTTGGTCCCTATTTCCCGTGGTTAAGCAAGGATTTCAACGGATCGGGCAGGGAAAGAATAATCAACACTTGTCTATGACCATACAATATTGCGTTATTGAATATATCTTGACTAATGTTTTTCACTTCAGCAATTCCCGTGTTATATTTATATACAGTTTTTTTAGTTTTCCAACTATTTATTTAAAAATTAGTTATTCCAGTTAAGGCAGTTATATATGTTATGCAAATTTTTTAATTACTAGTGGAGATATCCCTCATCATAATTGAATGAAAGAAGAGGATTCATGTAGTCAACCCCAAAGTTTTGAGATGAAGTCCACTTGCTACTATCGCACTACTTTGAAACTGTTGATCCATGTATTCTGATTTTTTTTTGTGAACTTTCTGATGCATAATTCATTCAATATGGCGATTCTTGGCTTTCGCTTCTCACTATCATGTTCAAACTATTAATATGGCTTACTATTAGTAACTTAAAAAAAAAAAATCATATTGTGTATATTGTCTTACTAATGGTTTCACATTCACTTCTTTGTAAATTTACTGTTACCTTTTTTTTTTTTTGGTGATTGAAGGGCATTGAACCTTTATAATTCTAGATGGTTCTACAGAAGTTTATCCTATAAATTCTTGTGTTCAGGATGCTATATGATTTTCATTCCTTTCAGTTCAGTCTAAGTTGCTGGATACCTGAGTCATGAATTTATTCAAGACATTTGTACTACATGCAGGAACTTTGAAGACATATTTGATGTTGATCATTTCATTGAGTATCTAAAGGATGATGTTCGCATTGTACGGGACATACCTGACTGGTTTACAGACAAAGCCGAGCTTTTCACCAGTATAAGGTCTTATAATAAATACAACCTTTATGTTCCTGCATTAAGATACTTGCCCACCATTTACGTCTTTATTTATTTATATTTTCTGCATCTACATTTCTATCAAGTAGCACTTGTTATGGGTTTATAAGGATATGTAAAAGCACATAACCTTTTGGATATGGGTAAAGTGCAGATTGTTGAGATCCGGGTAAGATCTGGTTACTTTTCCTATGTGCGTCCCTAACTTCAAGTTTGTCTGCATCTGAACTTGATGATGCGTTTTCTGGAATTTCTGTTCAGTATCTCCTCTATATCTTGAAAGATCTTCTTAGTTGAATATGATGTTTGTTTAATACATTCTATTGTTTACCTATTAATCTGTCATCGTGTTGGGATCTAAAGGAGGATCCTTTTGGTTGGCTAAAATCAACTGTGATCATTGCTTCTTAGTCACAAATTACTAAGATGAAGTTAAGTAACTTTTTGGTGCAAGAATTTATTTTCATTTATGTTTATTATTGACTGATTTTAATTTCTAGCCATGAGAAGAAAAAGGTGACAGAAAAAAGGTCATAAGAGGGAAAAAATAAAGTGGATGTGTACGGTACAGCATGGGAACTCTATTGTGAACATCACGCTCCCTCGAGCAGTGAGGAATACATGCTAAATAAGAGGGAAAAAACTTATAATAATTTCACCCAAATTTCTATTACACATTAGAACTTGAAGATATATGTATAATTGTGGGTTTATTAATCACTAAATCAAACACAGCAAGTTGGCTTGAAGTTTAAGGACCCTACTACCCAAAAAGTACTACGCACATATATGAAAATTGAGGTGTGCAAAAGCGCTTAATATTCCTATTCGAGTCAATCCTACTGTAAAATGAACTATCTGATTCTTATATAACTTCAGACCTGATCTTACCTTGAGATTCTATTATAAATTTATCATTCTAATTATAAGAAAACAGAAAGCCTGTGTTGTGAAATTATGCATGATAACCCAATGAGTAAGCTTAAACCCCCCTAATTTTAACGCTGGCTGATTTCACTCCTGATAAGAGCTTGATTGGTCCAAATACACCCAATGTGCAGCTGTCTTCATATAAGAATATACATGTTAACCCAGCTTACTGACCAGGATCCGGGACATAGGCATAACCGACAGCCATAGACATAAGGAGGAACACAAATAATGATTGGTCTTGATAAGATATAAAGGAATTTCTTCATGAATAGAGAGGAAGACATGCAGTTAATGAGATAACACGCTGAACAACAGCATATCAATAGCACTTTAGAATATTCATTTGAAACATCAAAGTTTGGGCCACATCAAGGAGATGATGATTTTTTCTTTTGCCACATCAAGGAGATGAACGCATGAAGTTTAACGAATAGTACCACTAGAGTTAGAAAGCATAGAAAGATACCTTATCATAAATTCTGATGATTATTAGCATACATCAAGTTCAGCTCTTACACCATGTTTTGATGGGAGAGTAACATACACCAGGCATATATTTTTTATAAGAGCGCGAATAATATTGCTACAAAAAGTTGTCAGCATGGGACTAAACAGCTTTCTCTAAGTTTCCTAATAAACACATGCCTAAATGTTACTCTATTTCTTCTTCTTGTTGAAATGACTTCCATTTTACGACCACTAAATGCATGATGAAGTCCTAATAATAATATATACATATTAGCCTAAGTGGAGTAGATCATCCATAATGGTCTGTAAAGTAATTTACTGACTGGGAACAAGCGTTATTGTGCCAGGAGGTCACAATACCTTTGTTGAAGTTTTAGGTTGAACACAAATGGAAAGATATATGATTGATAAATTCTGCTTGTGGGTTAATTTTCCATAATTTAAAATTAGAAATATATTCTAGTGAGCAATTCCTATGTTCTGATTTTTTGAATGATCTTCATGGCAGGCGTACTGTAAAAAATATACCCAAGTATGCTCCTGCACAGTTCTATATTGACAATGTACTTCCAAGGATAAAAGAAAAGAAGGTTATGGCCCTTAAACCCTTTGTTGATAGGTTGGGGTAAGTCATTTTACCCTCTTGCTTCTATCTAATTAAAATCCCTAGTAATGTACAAATAATGCATGCTTTATTTCTTTTATAACACATTTTGTGTATGGTCAGATCAGCTTCCATCTTTGTTACATCATTTTTCAATCTCTTGACATCCTTACCATTTTTATCTCAGGTACGACAATGTTCCACCTGAAATAAATAGGCTGAGGTGCAGGGTTAATTACCACGCCTTGAAATTTTTACCTGAGATCACACAAATGGCTGATCTTCTTGCATCAAGAATGAGGAACCGTACTACCGGTGGAAACCCTTATATGTAACCATTAGTCAACTCTCGTCCAGCTAATCCAACCAAACTTATTTATTGCTCTATTGTTGCCTAAATAATTGTCTCTTTTCCCATTAGGGCACTTCATCTGAGGTTTGAGAAGGGAATGGTGGGTCTTTCCTTCTGTGACTTTGTTGGGACAAGAGAGGAGAAAGCAATGATGGCAGTATATAGGCAGAAAGAATGGCCAAGGCGGTACAAGGTGGTTAAAAAATTCAACGTTCTTATGCATGCGCTTTACCAAGAGAAAAATAATATATGGTTGATTGCTCCTTTTTGTTAATGTATGTGCAGAATGGATCTCATCTTTGGCAATTAGCATTGCAAAAGAGAAAAGAAGGACGCTGCCCTCTTGAGCCAGGAGAGGTAGCTGTTATCTTACGTGCAATGGGATACCCTAAAGAAACACAGATATATGTTGCCTCTGGACAGGTTTATGGTGGCCAGAACAGAATGGCTCCTCTTAGAAATATGTTTCCAAATTTGGTAATATTTCATTTCTTGCTACGATAGTGTGATCAACATTACATAATGTCATCCCATGTGGTCTCTTCGTTATTTTATACCTTCTTTAGCACCATTCAATGCCTTCGGATTTGACCCTTCATAATTTGACATTTATCTTTCCAATCTTTTTTTTTTTGGGGGTGGGGGGGTGGGGGGGGGGGTGTTAGTCAAGTAGAACTCAAAGTTAGAACCAGGATAATTTATGGGGTAAAATTTTGTGGTTTTAGTCTATTTGGACTAGAACTAGGATAAATTTTAAATTGCTAGTCAATTAGAACTGTAACAAATGTAGAACGGCATAATTGTAAAATTTGTCCCACCTTTATCCTAGATGTATACAAAAGAGAGAGCTACAGTTCTGCTCTCTCAAATTACTAGCTTTAGTTAAGAACTAGGTGATAAAAAACTAGAACTGCATATATACACACCCTTTCTTTACCAAATATTATATTTGTATGGTTAATTTAAAGTGAGAAAGCCACAGATCCAAAATTTATTATAATTTTACTGAAAATTGAGAGATGACGGAAAAAGATTCACGGGGCGAAAAAGGAAGCAAATGGAAAAATGTTTAATTTTATGATATAATAATTATTATATTATTCTTATAGTCTAGGCAATAGTTATTTAAGATTAATTTATGTTATAATAAACAATTATTAATGAATAATGTATTTTATAAATAAAAGCTAGCAGTGCTATCATCACAGTAGATAGCTTATCTACTTCTTGATTATCTCAAATTATCCAACATCATTTTACCATAAGTTCCACTTTAAAAAATTATTTCCCACTTATCCTACTAAAATATTCCACTTTCAAAAAATATCCCATTTTAACTGTTATCCTGATTCTAATGAGCTATAGGATGTGTATTTTAGCTTGGTGTTTTTCTCAGTCAGGAATATGGTACTAGTTGAACAAGTTGAGATCAAGTCATAAATTTTGGTCAATATTTCCATGTAATACTGTGCAGTAGTCTACTCTTACTGGTGCCCCCACAAAAAAATTGAGACGATTGTTGGGGAAGTATTGCACTTTATGAAAGACCATTAGGCTTAAAACTCAGAATCTCTGATAACATGAACATGAACATTCCCATAGTCGTGGTGGTAATTTGCTCCCATTTTAACTGAATTGATTTGTGCACGCATGCACACATAAAAAGAATGGAAGTCTCGTGATGTAATCATATTGCGATACCTGTCTGCTTGTTTTTGCCTACCTTAATGGTGTCGCTGTACTCTGTTCTTCAACTCTTTAGTTTGTAGTTACTCCTTTATTGTCATTGCACTCAGGCCTTTAATATCCTTGTTTGCGAGCTGACTTCAGGTGACTAAAGAGGAGTTGGCCAGCAAAGCGGAGCTGGATGTTTTCCGGAAGCACGTAACAAGTCTTGCTGCCCTTGATTTCTTGGTGTGCTTGGAATCTGATGTCTTTGTTATGACCCATGGTGGCAATTTCGCCAAACTGATAATAGGGGCTCGTAGATATATGGGTCACCGGCATAAGTCTATAAAGCCGGACAAGGGGCTCATGTCGAAATCCTTTGGAGACCCTTATATGGGGTGGGCATCTTTTGTCGAGGATGTTGTCATCACCCATCAAACACGCACGGGTCTGCCCGAGGAGACATTTCCGAACTATGATTTGTGGGAGAATCCTCTAACACCATGCATGTGTAGAGCATGAGCTACTAATTCTTCTGTATATTTTGGCCCCTTTTTGTAGATTAAATCTTCCTTGTTTTTTGTCCACTTATTTTATTGTTACATGTCTATTTTCGGCATTTTTCTTGATCGGATTAATGATGATTTTTGTTGTGTAATCTGGCAAGATAGGAATGATGATGAGTACTTGTGTTCGGCGCTTGCGTGCTAGAAGTGACACGGTTTATTGCACATTTAATATTTACCAACTGAGGGTGTGGGTTAGTTTGGTGAAACAATTCAACGATGGTTTCCCAGCCTGAATCAATTTTCCTTTTACTTTTTCACACTTTTTGTTGTAGTTTTCACAGAAAGTAAGATACGAGAGCCGTGCGTGTTAGGGGAGCGAGTTATTTCCATTCTCTGGAGCAATGTTTGTCGTTCGCTCCAGACTTTTTTGGACTCAAAAAGTTCCCGAGTTGTTTGTATCGATCATCGAGCAGGGCCGCGTTCTACTTATCGTGATTCTCTGGATCGTAGATTCTTTTCTCATCGGTGCAACCGGTTTGTCTCTGATACGAAACATTTTTTTTTTATTTACGTAAGAAATCAGATCTTGCCGTTCACAAAATAAATTTATTTCTTAAAACATCTATTTAAACATCCAAATTCTGGATTAAAAAGAGGAGAAGCTGGCAAGCTGCGCCGCCCAGATGGAGGAGTACGTGGCGGAAGCAGAACACATCTGTCCGTCTCACTCCGACACGTACCCAGTATTATTCCACGATCACCTTCATGTCCATCTCCTCTTACTTACCTTTATCCGTGAACACGACATTAACTAACGCGATAGATTTCCCTCCCCGTAGCATGCAAGAACCCAAACCAACGAAGCAAGAGAAGGAAGAGGGAGAGGAGGATGCGCCAGAACTGAAACAGAGCAGGAGGAAGATGAGGAGAAGAGGATCATGCGCCTGGCTCCGCGGTCAGAGGGTCCAAGCTCTCGTGGCCCACAAGCGCCGGCTGGTGGAGGTGCCCTACACAGCCACCCTCTCCCACACAGTCAACGTCCTCGTCGCCAACAACATCGTGGCCGTGCCCGTTGCTGCTCCACCCGGCCGCTGGATCGGCGCCGGTGGGTCGATGATACTGGAGTCCGACCGGGCGACGGGTGCGGTGAGGAAGCAGTATATAGGGATGGTGACGATGCTGGATGTGCTTGTGCATGTTGCTGAGGTGGTGGAAGGGGGATCGGCATCGCCAAAGGAGCAGGATTTGGAGAAGAAGATGTCAGTGCTGGTGTGTGAGGTGATTGGGCACTCTCCTGAAGGGCTCAGCTTGTGGACCCTGCATCACAATACCAGGTGTGAATTATTATTTCTTTGATGTTGAGTCGGAACATGCGTGTTGCTTAATTTGAAATGTGGGACAAGTAAGCGCTGCGATCCGTTATTGTCTTCGCGTGAATAATTTGGGACGTACTGTCGTGTCTACATAGTGTTGCAGTTTCCTTTGCAAGTGATTCTCGAGTGATCTTGTAAGCTTGATTACCTGCATCTTTTTTTTTATGTGCCTATGTAAGTTTTTGAAGGCTTCTGATCGATTAAGATTACGAGAAGATTATGATAGATATTCCTTAAGTATATATTAATGCTTCTGAAGGGATGTTTGACTTCGCATCATATATATTCTGAAGTTATCAAATCGGTGGACCTTGTTGTTGGGCACACATAGACTTCCACTGCACAAAACTCTGATATCTTGACCAGGCTTCATGCTATAACTTATACTTAACAAGTCCTGCAAGTAGAATTGATACCTTTTTTCCTCAAAAAATCCGTTTAATTGCACATACAATGTGAAGCGAAGTTTCTCTTGATTGCTGTGGTCCCATTGCAACAAATATTAAGAAGTTGGACGAGGGTTTACAGCCATAATTTTTATACAGTAGCCTACATACATATTCCAAATTCAACTTATGTGCTGTTGATCAGTCGTTGACGGTAGCCGATTGAAGTATTGAAGTTTTACTGTATTATGTTCTTTTGCAGCATTCTGGACTGTATGGAGACATTCAGCAAAGGAGTACACCGTGCGTTGGTTCCACTTGAAAGCCATACAGAAAATGTCATAGCAACAGAACTAACAGAGGCATCACCTGGTTACAGAATGCTCACCCAAATGGACGTCTTAGCCTTCCTAGCAGAGCACGCTAATGAACTCAAGGACGTGATTTCAAGCAGCGTTCATGATCTGGGTGCAGTGAATGATAACGTTTTTGCTGTGACTAAGAATATGAAAGTCATAGAAGCCATCAAGTCCATGAGGGCTGGATAATTACGGTGACAGTGCTTCTATTGAATATACTATACAGCTGGTTTTCCCACTACTGGAAGTGGAATAGAATGATTTCTCTGGACCTTTGACTTGTAACAGCTAGTATCTGATTTACAGAATGACTTACAAGTACTTATTTCGTCTAAATGTATTAGTTTTTGAGGTTCTGCTTTATGAAACCTATGATGCTCCTTCTAATTTTTATATTATTAGTTTCATTTTAAAAACACAAAAACTACCGGAAAACTTGGCATTACCCACAGACGAATTCCTGGATAGAAGCTGCAAAATGGTGGGAAGTGGTCAATACCCACACAATTTCCTGGGTAAAAAGTCGGTGGATGACTGATACCTGATACCTGATATTTGGGAATGGTGGCGATGAAAGTCATTTTGAAGTTCCATTTTCTGCTAGGGCTTGCCGTGCGAGAGAAGAGGGCATGAGGGGTTACGTGCTGGGGATTGTGGGATGATTGGGGTTAAAATATATATATAAAGGTTAAAAATATATTTCATCCTTGCTCTCACTAAAATCTCTGTAAAAGTCTCTGGATAAAGGTCTTCTGCTACTAATTAAATATAGGAATCTTATGGTGATAAATATTGCAGATAGCTTGTTTGTGGGTACCGCATCAACTTCTCAAAAACGCAATACGTATGGCAGATTTCCTAGGTGGTGCTGGTAACAAAGGGATTTGCATTTCTGGGTGCTTAATGATCATAAGTCTGCCATTTTGTTCATCTATGAACTCTGTGACTGCAGAGTGAACCCCAGAACCTAAGCATATATGTTATTAATAGGGGTGCATTCGGTCCGGATAGGGCTCAGGTATAATGCTTATCATATTCATATTCGCTTACCCATCTCGAATACGGGTACGGATACAGATATACCTCTATAAGGAAAATTCATAACCATATCCGCTAAAATCGGTTACGGTTATGGATATACATGCGGATATATAAGCGGATATGCATTCGGATACAAAACGAATATGAGAAAACTAAATAGTATTGAGAAAAACATAGTTTATGTGATACAAAAGAGTTCGTCAATATGTTCATTATAACTGAAAAGTTAAGATTGGACATCTTGATCATCAAAATTAATCACAAATTCATAATCTAAGAATCGAAACTATCATAAGAGTATGATAAATATGCATTCGGATATTTCGGATATGGTTACGGATATTTCATTACAAAACCATATCCGTAACCATATCCTATCGGTTATAGATTTGAGTAACCATACCTGTATCCTAACGGATACGATACAGATATTTCCTCAGACACAGATATAGTTTAGCACTCCTAGTTAGTAATCACATCAAATGTCTATTAATACAGTGCACATTCAGTATTGCATGTTAGACGAAAGGAAAAATCTTGGTCTTGTGGTTTTAACGGCAATGATTTGTAATCTGTTCCTGATACTCATCCTATTTGGTTTATCTGTCCCAATACTCGTACTATTTGGTTTGTCTGTTCCCAATGCATGCGCTAACCATTTGTAATCGGTTAATCAAAGATTTTAAGCACGTGCAAAGAAATATGCATGTGGTGGCAGAGATTATAGCAATAATATACAAAAGAAAAGAAAAAAAATAGCAAACTGTTTCCATATTGGGAATATCCTATGCTGAATTCGGCATGTCATATGAAAAACAAGCAAAAGGTGCGGGTTATATCAAGTGATCAAATTGCGAATTTTGTGGTCACTTACAAATTACTGAATGTAACTTGTATAAACTATGTTGATATGTATTATATGTGAAGAAGTCCTGCTAAATAGCACCCACCAGGGTAAATAGCACCCACCAGGGTACACAAAGATTGTTCCGAGGGTATGCTTCCAGCTTAACGGTCTCAAGTTCGAATACCCTTCCGACTTTCTTAGAATTGGGATAGATTTGAGGTGGAACCCTATTCCTGGCGTTTTTTCTTGAAAGGGTTAGAGTTCTACAGATGGCATGTGGACCGATGACATGTGGTTTTTCTTGAAAGGATTGAGTCCTGATAGCATGAGGACTCGAACTCGTGCTCCCCTAGGGCATAGGAGTCCTTTGACCAAGACTCCCCTCCTACCAAAAAAATGTTGGAGTTGCGGAAGCTAGATGTGTAATTGATTTTAGTTTTAGAGGATTGAGAATGGAGGAATTAGAAGGGAAATGAAAAGTTAGAAGGGAAGAGGCTAACTTGAAGAAACTTTGTTTTAATTGCTTCAAAGCTTGTTTACAATGCTTACATCCATTGCCTATTTATAGGCACATACAGAACTGCCTAGAGCATAGACATTTTACATGAAATATTCTAGAGTATTGTATATTATTCCTATCTTCTTGATATATCTTATTTTTTATCATATTTCTAGTCCTAGTTATTTCTAGAAACTTTTCATGATACAAGATTATTGTAGAGTGTTATAGAGAATTACAAATTACTTCTAACACCCCTCCTTAATTTGTAATTCCTAACTCATTTCTGAATAGTATAAACTTTTTGGAGGGTAATGATTTTGTGAAGATGGCTGCTAGCTACTCATTTGTTGAGATAAACTCTAGCTTGATCTCCTTGTCTTCAATGAGCTTTCTAATGAAATGATGACGAATCTCAATATGTTTGGTTTTGACATGGAAGACTGGATTTTTTGTCATGGCTATCGTAGACTTGCTACCACAGTAGAGAGTAGTTGGTGACTCTTGTTTTTTTAGATCAGATAAAATCCTTCGAAGCCATACTGCTTCACATGCGACAATTGTAGCTGAGATATACTCTGCTTCTGCAGAAGATAGATCTATGATCTGTTGTTTCTTTGAGGTCCAGGATATTACCTTAGATCCAAGAGTGAAGACATATCCTGAAGTGCTTTTGCGATCATTAATACAACCAGTCTAGTCACTGAGTGTAGCCGGCTAATGCATTGCCTTCTTCTGTTGTGTATTTTATTCCTATACTCTTTGTACCTTGAAGATATTGAATCCGCTTCACTGCTCTATAGTGTAGTTTACTTGGATTGCTCATGAATCTGGGCACAATGCTTATAACATACAATATGCCTGGCCTTGTATTTGTTAGGTAGATTAGTGATTCGGTTAGGCTTCTGTAACTTGAGGCATTCACCCTCGGCGCTCCATCGTGCATTGATAGTTTTTCATTCAACAATACTGGTGTAGCTACTGGATGCAATTCTTCATGTTGAACCTCTTCAGAAAATCTTCGTAGTACTTTTCTTGATTGGTGAATATTTCTCCTTTAGTTTTTTTTACTTGTATTCCTGGAAAATATCTCATCAATCATAAATCTGTCATCTCAAAATCTTTTCTTTTTTTCAAATTCTTCAGTCATTATAGTGTTAGTGCCACAATAAATGAAATCATCAACATATAGGCAAACGATAAGGAAGTTTGTACCTCTTTTCTTCACATATATAGATTGTTCACTTGGGCTCCTTTGAAATCCATGCTCGTGGATTTAGTTATCAATTTTACTATTCCAAGCCCGCGGTGCTTGCTTCAATCCATATAGTGCTTTGTGCAGTTGATAAACTTTGTTTTCTTCTCTTTTGACTATGTAGACCTTGTTAGACCCTAGAGGGGGGGGGGGGGGGGGGCAACCGGGTTTTCTACGTTCACCCGAATAACGTTTACACCTCACAGTGTCGGTTTTCAACGCTCACCGAAAACCTCACTCCTCACACTCGGTTTCTAGCTCACCGAAAACCTCACTACACACTCGGTTTCTAGCTCACCGAAAACCTCACTACACACTCACAATGTAACAAATATAAATTTGTTCTCTACGATAGATGAGAACACAATGAAAGCACAACTCAAAGTTACAATCTCTCACCACCCAACTATACTATGTATGTAAATATTTGAAAAGACATCAGCAATGGGGTATATATACCCACTAGAAATCTCAGCAAAAACCCCAAAACAGAAAGACCAAAATGCCCCAGAAGAGTCAGCTCAGAAATAGCCGTTAGAAGTCCAACGGTCATATTGTCGGTCGACCGAAAATCCCGTCGGTCGACCGATGAGAGCAAAAACACGAAGAAAACTTTCTGGACTAACGTCGGTTGACCGGAAATTCTGTCGGTCGACCGATTTGAGCTCTCGGTCGACCGGACCGGTCGACCGACGACTCTCTGGAAAAATACTGACGAATGGTCAATTGACCGGTCGACCGTACCGGTCGACCGAAAACTGACATCCCAGAAAAACAAAGCTGATTTTAAAACACTGTTTAAAAATATCAAATAAATTCCAAAAAATGTAAAACTTTGGGGAATGATTGTAGACATGATAATAAACATGCTACAATGACTGGTTATCAAAAAGGACTTCCCAAATGAAAAATATCATCATTTTACAAACTAGTCCAAAACATGAAAATATGAGATACTTGAATTTTGATGTTTTGACATAAACCAACTTTTGAAACTTTGTGAAATGTTTTTGTAGACTTAGTAAAACATGTATAAACTGATATTGAAGTCTATAAACTAAGAATACAATATTTTCACAAAATTGCATATTCTATGCAATGTTTTCAAAAACATAATAGAAAATATGAAATATAGAATTTCATGTATATAACCATAAAAACTCAAAACATATGTATGTATATATATAACTATATATATGCATAGAAACCAAAACTTATATATATATATATATATGACTATATATATATATACGAAGAAACCAATAAATGTGTGTGTATAGATAATTGAGCTTAGAGTATATAACACACATAATATAAATCCTAAACTAAATTACCCAAGCTAGATCTTGATCTTCAATAAGCTCTTCTAGGTAATCTCGCGGATGAAGCTTTAACTTGGATCTTGAACTTTGAATAGCAAGGCTTCACCGACATTCCGCCAACCTCCATTGGATATCATCGTTGAAGCTCTATTCCATCCATCCTCCAACAACGTTGTTTGTCTACAATACATAGGAAAACACAAATACTAGACAAACAACATTAGTGGTAAATTGTTTGTTAAACATCATCAAAATAAGAAGGCCAACAGACCTGTGGTTGCTTGACATAGACTTCATCTTTAGGTTCTCCATTTAGGAATGCTAACTTGACATCTGGCTCTCCGTACAAGTAACTGAGCAAATGTCTCGTTGAAGTCGGCTCCTGATTGTTGAGGATAACCTTTTGCGACCAATCGAGCCTTGAGCTTTTGAATGGAGCCATCTTCATTGTGTTTGGTTTTGTATATCCACTTAAGGCCAATGCCCTCCTTTCTTTCCGGAAGATTGACCAGCTCCCATATATTGTTCTTCTCGATCGTATATATTTCTTCATCCATTGTTTTTATCCAACCTTCATCTTGAATAGCTTCTTTAAATTTCTGCGATCATAAGAGAAGAATGCTACATCATAGGAGTCATAAATATCTTGAAGTGAACGCTCCTTCCTCGGCAATGATTCTTTGTCTGAGATCTTAGACTTGGAGAATTTTGATGTGACATGACTCCCCTCCTTTCCTCTTAAATCTCAATGTTGAGATTTAATGTGATTCACCGTTGCATGTTCCTACTTCATCAAAGATAACATATCTAGAGACCACCAACTTATCAGTATCAGGATTGTATAGTTTATAGGCCTTGGATTCTTCACTGTAGCCAATAAAGATGATTTTTTCTCCTTTTTCATCAAACTTTTCCTTTCTTAACTGTGTTGGTTTGTGTGCATAGGTCATACAACCAAATACCTTAAATAAATTCACTTTTGCCTTTCGCCTTTCACCTATATTAAGCTTCATATGACGTTTTGTTTGGCACAACTTTTGTTGGTGATCTATTTAAGATGTAGACTGCTGTATATACCGCCTCAGCCCATAGCTTGCTTGGGAGATTTTTACCTTTTGACATGCTCCTCATCATATCCATAATTAATCTATTTCTTCTTTCTGCTACTTCATTTTGTTATGGAGTGTACCTTATTGTTAGCTTCTTTTTAATTCCGTAATTTTTACAGAAATTTTAAAATTCATTGGAGGTGAATTCTCCTTCACGATCAGTTCTTATAACTTTTAATTTGTCGCCACTTTGCTTTTCTACAAGAGCCTTAAACTCAATAAACTTCGAAAATAATTCTTATTTTACTTTTAAGAAATATACCCACATCATGCTGCTATAATCATCAACAAATAATAAGAAATATCTTTTTCTATTTAATGATAGGGTTTGTCTTGAGCCACAAACATCAGAATGCACCAATTCTAATTGGGGTTTTGCTCTCCAATATGTTTTAGTAAATGGTAAGCAATGCACTTTTTCGTAAATGCATCATTCACAAACTTTTTCTTATTTACTTATGTGTGAGAGTCCTATCACCATATTCTTCATTTTGAGCAAATTTAGACTCTTGAAGTTTTAGTGAACGTATCTTTGATGTCATAATAGAGAATCATTATTTTCTTCTAATTTGAGCGCAATATTCTCTATATATATTTTTAGGGGAAAACCTTTGTTAGGAGCTATTTTTATGCTGGCTACTATTTGCTTATTCTTATTATCTATTATCACTATTCATTCTTAAAGAAATTGATTGTATATCCTTTTTGGATTAATTGTCCCACACTAAGTAAATTCTGAGTTAGCCCCAGAACACAAAGAACATCTAAGATGTATTTAGTCTTAACTCCCTTAGTCTAGACTGTTATCATTCCCTTTCCTTCAATGTCTTTTAATTTTCCGTCTCTAAGCTTTATTTGAGAGCTTGCTCCATCCATCAGCTCTACGAAGCTGCTCTTATTTCTTGTCATATGATTGCTGCATCCACTATCCAAATACCAAGTATCTTTTTCTTCTGATTGTGGATTAAAACATGAATAAAATAGGTGAGTTGTTTCTACTTTTGAATAGTGGAATTCATTATGTTTCTGGTACCAACAATCTTTTTGGGAGTGATTAGCATTTTCATAGTTTTTGCATTTAAATTTACAGTTATATGTCTTATGTCCAGACTTACTATAGATTTGACAAGAGGATGTAGACTTACCTTTTGAGCAATCTTCCTCTCTCTCGTTCATTCTTCCTTGTCTCCCAAACTTTCTATCATGGTAGTTGTCTCTTCCATCTAGTGCTTTCTGAGAAAATATTCTTTCTTTATTTTCTTTAGTTCCATCCCGTCCTTTCCTTGAAAATGTTAGTTTTGACTGGAATGCTTGCTCCACCTCTTGGCTTGAGGATTTGCTTCGTCTAAGCTCATGTGACTCCAAAAAAGCCATTAGTTCATAAAAACTTAGTTTTGATAAATCTTTAGATTCTTCTATGGCAGCAACAATGTGAATGTAGGGGGAAGACCTTTTAATATCTTCTCAACAATCTTCTTATCCTTTTATTTTGTCGCCATAGCTTTTAATTTGATTAATAATTGAGTAATAATTGAGGTAACTCTATTAGAAAATTCTTTCACGGATTCATCATCTTTCATCTTTATGTTGTCAAAGTCTCTCCATAAAGATTGTAGTTTGATAGAGATTACCTTATCGGCTTTTCACTTTGGTGAAAAGCATAATCATTTCTTCTCTCAAAACTTAGGAAAAGTGCTCTGCTCCCTGTATAACATGGCAATCTAAACACATTTATCAGTCTTTGTATTACACAATATTAAGGTATTTCTGAACATCTTACGACCAAAATGTCGAAGATAAAGCCTTCAATAACATTCATAAGGTAAATTTTGACATTAAAAGTGCATTTAAGAAGTTCTGTAAAAGCCTTCCTGAGAATTCATGCATGAGTTGGATAACATTTGCCTCAGATTGAAACAGTGAAAATTCATGATAGCATTTGCCTCAAATGGATATGGAGAGATGAAAAAAGAAGGCACAGTTTCAAGTATATAATACACACAGTGGTCAAAGATCAATGAAATTGCTTTGAGAAGACCATTGGACATTTAGAATTTGTTACATCTATTTGCACATTTATGTTCCCTTCAATAACATATAGTCGGTTCATATACTTTTTGAAGATAAGAAAAATGTCTCTTTTTGAGCATTTAGTTCAGATGAGCTCTGACTTGTGAAATTCTGCAGGGGAAAGGAAAGAGGCTAGTAGACACGTTCTCGGCTACAGATCTGCGTGGATGCTCGGTAGCTGAACTGCAGACTTGGCTGCCTAAAAACGTCCTCCAATTCAAGCAGAAAGTGTCCAGTCCTGTTACTCCAAGGAAGCTTGTTACATGCTACCACGAGACGAGTCTTGGCGAGGTGATAGATGAGGCGGTACAAGCACGTGTACACCGAGTGTGGGTTGTGGATCAACAGGGAATGCTCAAAGGGATCGTCTCCCTTACCGATATGCTGCGTGTTATTAGGGAAGCAGTGCTGGATGCAGATCGGGAACTGCAGAGGGTTGTCAGTCCAAACGTTTCAGATAGGTAAGCCTGCTGTAATAATTGTTTATTTTCTTTGCTTGTAAATATGAAGATCGAAGAGCGGGCCAGTTTCATTTTGGAGGACACTAGCTAGTTTGAAATTGTTCTTGGGTTTGGCCTGTACCGTGCTATATATGATTGTTTACTTTGAGATGCGTGCCCTGACAGGGTCGCAATCCGCAGCTGAAGTGTGTGTAGGAAGTACCTGGCCGATGGCATTAATTGTGCACCGACGGGATATCACCTCTTGGATCAGTGCACACGAATCACACAGTCCTTTGGTGCACTATGAAATACCAGACAAATTAGTGATGGCAACTCAGAGTGGACAAAGGTCGGGGTAACTTGCCCTCCACTCGACCAGACCGTGAGGATCCTGAGTAGCATGAGGGATGAACGTGTCTCTATTCATTTTGGACTGTTTTCTCAGGTTTAGAGAACTTGTTGGGATTTCTGTCCACTGAAGTAATCAGTTCTAAACCTGACGGCATAAATATATAACGGCTATTGGATTACCGGATCTTTTCCCCCTAGCGGATGATGCTGCACTGTGTCCAATCTGCGTAACACCGATATATAATAATGGCTTTGATGAGAATATTTGAGCAACACGCTAGTTGATTGAACCACTGCTTTGAAGTACACGTCGAAGTTCTGTGGCCTAGGATACGCAATTCCATTTTATTAAATATTGATTGGCATGGCACGTCCCAATCGTGTGGCCTAAAAAAAATGTCCTATTC